GACGGACGGACGGACGGACGGACAGACAGTCACCGCTTAATCGATTTCTCTTTTCATTCTGATCATTTATGTATACATTTGTCTATATCTATCTCGATTCGTTTTGCCTGTTACAAACAACCGTTATGTGAACAAAGTTATAATACCCTTGTGCACAAGTGCGCTCGGGTATAAAAAGTAACAACATGTTTTCTTTTTGGGTTACCATGGTAGAAAACTTCAATTATTTGCAGAGAAATGTATTTTCAATCTTAAATCAAATTTGTTTGAATGAATGTAAATTAAATTGTACATTTGAAAACACGTTTACATACCTTTGGCTGTAGCTGAATTTGCAGAGCTGCTGACTGTTATTGGTTATATTCCAGAAGGTCCCAAAATGTTAAGATGCTAACACAAATATTAGTTTTGTATTGCCAAACTATGAAAAAGCATCTGCGACGTGCAGACTGACGAAAAACCCGCCAAGCAAAAATCTATTTAAAGTAAACAAGCCCCCCGCTGCATCCCTTTTTCAATAGTTTCGAAATAGTTCAAAATTCGCCAGATGAGATCTAGTTCGTTCTGCATCCCTTTTTCTGTAGTTTTGAACCAGTTCTAAATTCGTCATTTTAGATATAGATTTCTGAAATTGTTTTTTAAAAGTACCACATATCGGTGCTTTTGAACTGGTGGCGATCTAGTTACTATCGGACTGGTTCGTTTTTGGCGATAAAGATCTAGTACGGAACTAAAAATTTGGTTCACCAGTTCGGGGTTTCCCTACAGGGTTATGTCATACCATGTATGTGTGTGTGTTGTCACCGCTGTGCATGCTTTTTATACATATACATTCTTAATCACATATGAAAAAGGATCCGAGACGTGCAAAACGCCATCCTTGTAATGAAAAATGCTTCATTTTAGTACGGGCGTATTTGAATTGAATATTTCCATTATACCTGGTGTATGTATAATGGAAAAATCCATTTTGTTAAGACTTTTCACTTGATTTAAATACGAACATTTTTAAACGGTAATCAAATAAAATTACAAATCCCGAAAATCCCAGGATTCTAGGCAAATAATCCCGGGGTTTTCGGGACGTAAAAAGGCATTAATAATACATACACATAATTTTATTCATTTTGCGGATTTAATTTTTTTTATTAATTTAAATTTTTTAATACATGAAAATATCGGTATGATTGGTAAAAATAATAATAAATCAAGGGCGTTAAAATATCTCGAAAACACCGCATCAATTACATTTTTTGAGCCAGTAGTCTGAGCATATATTCCTAAATTTAGTTTTTTTTTTAGGAATATGATCTGTGTTTCTACTTCATCTGGCGCTAGGTTTACGTCAAAGTCATGAATACATATAGCGTATCATCTTTTGTTAGCAAAATGGGAAGCGAAATTCATTTGTTCGGAATTTCCTCTTACTCTCGTCTTCTCTTTGTGCAATCTTGTATTAGCTTTGATCCATTACTCAATGAACTTACAGGTTTTTACACGAACTTGCAAGAAGTTACAGGAAAAACGATCCCGTCATGTAAATGAGAGCGATTTTTTGAGAGTTGCGAAGAGAAGATGCTTTTTTGTTCCCATACTTTTTGCTGTTACTCACTTTTTGCTCTCACTTCAGAAAGTGATTATGCTGTTTGACATTTTTACTACGGGATTTTAAACGAAAAGTATTCGATCAGAGCTACTATATCATCTATACATATGTATATATACATATATTCATGTGGGAATGTGTTAAAGTATGAAATACTTTACTTAATTGTACTGTATTCGTATCATATTGTACGGAAACAACACATAGTAACGTTTTTTTATTAATTGAAATATGCAAAAACTACGACAGTTAGTTGAAAACGAACAATGATTCTTGATAGACGTGTACATTTAAATTTTTATACCCGAGCGCACTTGTGCACAAGGGTATATTAATTTTGTTCACATACCGGTTGTTTGTAACAGCCAAAACGAATCGAGATAGATATAGACAAATGTATACATAAATGCTCACAATGAATAGAGAAATCGATTAAGCCATGTCTGTCTGTCCGTCCGTCTGTCCGTCTGTCCGTCCGTCCGTGTACACGATAACTCGAGCAAAAATTGAGATATCTCAACGAAATTTGGTATGTAGGTTTCCCTTAATCCAAGGTAGGTTGGTATTGAAAATGGGCGAAATCGGACTGTAACCACGCCCACTTCCCATATAACGGTAATTTCCAGAAATACGAAAACTGCGATATTTTAGTAACTACTGAAGATAATTCACTCAAAATTGATATTTACAATAATTTTTAGACGAAAAATAAGAATATTATAAATTTTTGGAAAATGGGCGTAGCCACGCCCACTTATGGTTACATGTGTATATCTTGGTAACCGCTGCACCAATTTCTTCCAAACTTGGCACAGTTGTTGGCCTTGGCACAGCATACCAAATGGCCGAAAATTTTTAAAATCGGACAATAACCACGCCCACATCCCATATAACGGTAATTTAGAGAAATACAAAATCTTCGATAAATCAGTAAATATTAAAGCTAATTTATTCAAAATTGATGCTTGCAACAATTCTTTACCAAGAAATACGTTTATGGTAATGTTTTGGAAAATGGGCGTGGCACCGCCCACTAATGATCACATATATGTATATCGGTAACCGTTCTACCAATTTGTACCAAACTCGGTATGGTTATTGTGCTTNAAATATTAAAGCTAATTTATTCAAAATTAATGCTTGCAACAATTCTTTACCAGGAAATATGTTTTGGAAAATGGGCGTGGCACCGCCCACTAATGATC